CCTGCTGATACACAAATCTTGTTCTCTGTCAAACAGGAAGCAGGATCTGGAAAATCAGGAAATAAGTGGAAATGAGGACAGCGGCGATGTGTCTGAGGAAGAAGAGGAGGAAGAGGTAGGGCTGTAAATATAAACTACAGGGCTCTATGGTGCAAACATTTCACTAGCATATGCCAGTAAAAATCAGTGTGTGTTAATGTAAAAAATTATTTGGGTGCACAGGTGAATGACATCTGTCGTTCTTCATCTGGCACAGTGCAGCCACATAAAATTGATAAAAAAGAGATTATTATATTCGCAAGATATCTAAAATTTTAAATATTGCAATGATCTGACACCTGAATAAAATGTCAAGCAGATGTGCTCTCTCATCCTAGGAGGAAGCAGAAACTAATTGCAAGAAGACAGAGGAAGGGTCCAGGCATCACAGCAGCAGTGGTAAACACAAGAGGAAAAAACACAAGCACCGTAGTAAGCACAAAAAACACAAGCATGCCTCTGACGAGGACAAGGACCGCAAACGTAAACATCGCCACAAACACAGGAAACACAAACGCAAAGAGGGCTCCTCTCCCTCTGAATCTGGCCTCTTTGGCTCCACCAGCCATAAAAAGGTTGAATCCTCTCCCTCCTCTGGAAATCCATGTCTGGACGACAGGGCCTTGCTGGAGGATTTGGAGAAACAGAGGGCCATGATCAAAGCTGAGCTGGACAGCCAGTTGATGGAGGGCAAGGTCCAGTCTGGCATGGGGTTGATCCTTCAGGGTTATAACTCTGGATCAGAAGAGGATGGAGAAGCCAGAGTAAGAAATGGAGAACAGCATCAAAGGGGCAGCTCAGGTAAACCCATTTCTCCCAGAGGAGGAAAAAGCAGGAAATCTAGGCGGGAATCAACAGAGGGCAGCAAGTCCAGCTCCAAGCGTCGTAGTCGGAGTAAGTCTGTGGACAGGCCTGCTAAGGATTCTAAGCAGGACAAGGTGACCAAAAGCACCAAGGATACAGGTGTGAAGGACAGAGGACGTGGCAGGAGCAGGTCAAAAGACAAAAAACATTCAGACAGCACTGATAGGTCCAAGGAGAGAAAGAAGTCCAACTCCCCTGTTAGTTTTAAAGCAGAGCAGAAAAGTGGCCGCACTGATAAACGTTCCTCTCAACATGGGGAGGACAGACCAAACCAGGAAAGAGTAACCCAGCGGTCCAGATCACCTGGACGAGAGCGGATAAGTCGCTCAGACAATGATCGGGACAAGCGGCCTGCCAAGTCTCCATCCAAGGATGCATCATCGGGGAAAGAGAACCACTCCCCTCATAGACGAGGGCCTCACAGCCCTGGAAGGAAACGCAGTGCTTCCCCTCGCCACAAAGATGCCCACCACCCTTTGGTTAATGCCTCAGATAGGATAAAAAAGCAGAGCCACTCTCCATCCAGAACAAGGTCCTCACCCCGGAGAGGCCGCAGCCGCTCACCAGATGCTAGGAGGAGGGATGCTGACAGGCAGGACTCGCCACCGAGGTTGGTGAAGACAGGTGTATTTGAAAGCTTCAGCTGATAATCTGCCATAGTTCATCTGCACTGTAACAGTTTTGCTGAAATCACTATGTAGAGTGTCCACTTGAACCTCTTTCCGCCCCATCTGTTCACTCTTCTGAACAGGAAGCGCCTGCGGGCAGATGCAGCGCCAGGCAGAGAGAGATCACGAGACAACAGTCCCAAGTCATCGTCCCGTCGTAGGATGAGTCGCTCACCACTGAGACGCAG